TTTTTATCATGAATAATTGGTAATTGATTAAGAGCATCATGATAAAAAGAAACCTCCTGATCTAATTCCCCTACTTCCTTAATATCATAACCAAGCATGCATTTTTCAAGGGAATCAACAAATGAAACAAAAGATCTAATTTTAGCCACAGTGGCATCAACAACATCTATCCTATGACATGTACTTACCTCATTGGGATATTTCATGGCATGAGATATGTCAGACACAACAGCCTCCTAATTAATTCTCAAAGTCAACTTACCCAATTGCACGTCTATCAGAGCACGTTCAGTAGCCAGGAAAGGTCGTCCCAAAATTATAGGAATCTCTTAATCTTCTTTCATGTCCAAGACTACAAAATCTGCCGGAAAAATGAACTTGTCAACTTTGACTAGAACATTTTCAATAACACCATTGGGATAAGTGATAGATCGATCAGCTAGCTGCAAAGATATTGTAGTTGGTTGCACCTCTCCAAGACCAAGTTTCCTAAAAACAGACAAGGGCATCAAATTAATACTGAGACCAAGATCACATAAAGAATTATTAAATGATGAACTACCAATAGCACAAGGAATAGTAAAACTCCCTGGATCTTTTAATTTCTATGGTAGTTTTCGTTGAAGGATCGCACTGCACTCCTCAGTGAGATTCATCGTTTCATAAGCTTCCAATTTTCTTTTCCCAGTCATAATGTCCTTCATAAACCTCACATAATTTGGTATTTGTTCCAGCGTATCGGCAAAAGGAATATTAATGTGAAGTTTCTTAAAAATTTCTAAAAATTTAGCAAATTGAGCATTAATCTTTTTCTTTTTGAAACGCTGAGGATAAGGTAAAGAATTAGAAGGACTAGAAGTAATAGAACTAGTAGGCTTGTCAGCCTGTAGAGTAGGAGTGGCCTCCTTTACAACTTCCTCCTTATTTTCCCATTCCTCAGTTGTGATGACTGGTTCTTCCATTTTTTTCTTTTCAGGCTCCTGGAGTTCCCTTCCGCTTCTCAAAGTTAAGGCTTTGCAATGTTCTCGTGGGTTAACTTCAGCGTCACTTGAAACTTCCCTTTCTGCTTAGTGTTCAAGGTGGATGTTATTTGCCCTATCTGAACCTCCATGTTCTTGATGGCAGTTGTGTTTCCTTCCAATTTAACTTCCATGCCTTCTACCTGATTTTCAATCCGACTAGCTCGACTTCTGGACTCATTGATGAAAGCCCCAAGTAGATCCTCAAGGGAGCATTTCTTTTTAGCTGGCTGAAATGTAAAACCTAGAGGATGTTGCAAAACATTCCTGTTGTTAGCATAAGAAAAATTTTCATGATTCCTTAACCTTGGATGATAGTGTGTTGGCAGCGAGCTCTGTTGCTGATTTCCCTTTTGTAGCCAAAATTTCTATTATTGACATACTGAGCTTGCTCAATGGTTGGCTCTTTATAGTAAGAATATGTATCTGCTGCTGCCACCAACTCATTTGAATGAAAAGTTCCTAGTCCTGAAAGTTTAGAAACAGCATTAGTCAAAGCTTGAAGTTAAGCTTTTAGGGAACTTACCTCATCCATTTCATACATTCCAGCAACTCTTTTGGCATTCGATCTCTCACTAGGCCATTGGAAACTATTGGTTGCCATGTCCTCCAATAAGATATAAGCATTCTCAGGTGTTTTGGATAATAAAGTGCCTCCAGCTGCAGCATCCAGTATAGTCCTTGTTTGTCCATTCAGTCCATTGTAGAACATCTGAATTTGCAGCCAATCCGGATAACCATGCGGTGGACATTTCCTTAGAAGCTCCTTGTATCTCTCCCAGGCCTCAAAAAATTGCTCATAATCATATTGCCTGAATGATCCGATCTCTGTTCTAAGTTGAGCTGTCTTGGTAGGTGGTAAAAATTTTGTGAGAAATGTCTGAACCATCTCCTGCCAAGAATTAACATTGCCTGGTTACAAGGATTTCAACCGATCTCTCGCCTTATCCTGCAAAGAAAAAGGAAAAAGGAAAAAGGCGTAAGCGAATAGCATCATCAGTTACTCTGTTCATCTTCACAGTACCACAAACATCTAAAAACATTGTCAAATGATTGTTTGGATCCTCTGTGGCATTGCCCCTGAATCTATTTTCTCGAACCATCTGGATGAAGTCAGGTTTCAACTCAAAATTGTTGGCATTAATAGGCAAATTGGTTATGCCAACATGATCAGGAAAGTTGGACTGACAGTAATCTCTAATGGTCCTTTGGTTACTTTGTTCTAATTGCAGTCGTTCCACAGGTTGAACAATCAGTATAGGTGGTGGTGGATCCATCTCTGCAGTCGTCTTCTTTTTCTCCTTTCGATTTCTTTTACAGGTTTTCTCAATTTCAGGATCAAAAGGGACTAAAACTGCGTCTTTGTCCTTGCGCATACAAATCAACTCCCTAAAAAAAATAAGTAAAGACACAAAAATTAAAAACAACTCTAAAGTCAGATCAAACAAATTCTCCACAGTATCAAGTGAAACTAAATAATTGCCGATCCCCGGCAACGGTGCCAAAAACTTGTTGCAGAAAATGCTTACCGCAAGTGTATGGGTCAAGTTTTAATAAAAGTGGTACGTAATTACCGATATCATCCACTGGATTGGGTTTCTAGTCATTCTAGTACTACAGATATTATTGTCCAATTTTATCTAGAGAAACAACAAGAAATTTCTTTTGACATATAAAAATCAAATAACAAAGCAAATAAAAAACTCTAAAGAAAACTCTTATGGAGAACAGTTCCTACGGAAGTGATTCCACCAACTAAACCTACAAGCAGACAAATTAAACATGCCAAGATTGAATATGCAAGAAATCAAGAATCATAACTGTCTCTCCCGAGCACAATTAATTCTCCCACTTATTAAGAAACCAATATCCCTATCTAGTTTCATTAACAAGCAGGGCCTTAAGTCTTAGTCTTTTAACAACCTCTAAGATAATTCTAAATCTCCCGATCTTAGAACTACCCCAGTCATGCATTCAAATTCCAATCTAAACCACCTCTCCCAAACGTAAGATTCAGATTTAGCAACAATTAATCTGTGATCAAGAGATTAAAAGCATTAAGCGAATAAATGCACAAATAGATTAAAAACAAATCAATCAAGACAATTGTTAATAAATCCAACTCATAAATCCAGCGGCTACATCAATCCCTAGAACAAGAAGATTAGCTACTCATGTTCACGAAAATACAACAAAATCTCACAGAGAATTACATAATAAATCTTGAAAAGATAAGGGAAAGGAGAGAAACTAAAGTCGTAGTGTCGATTGACCATCCCCGACTCAATCTCCACGATCACGAACCTTCGAAAATCGTCTCCTCGCCCTCCTTGCTTCAAACCTTGAGCCAAACCTCTCCAAATTCCAATTCTCCAATGTGAGAATCCCCCCAAAACTCCCCAAAAACGACACACTAATATTTTACTTATGTGAGGGCATCACTACAGAGCCATGGCGCTGTCCCAAAATTGTGATGGACGAGCAAGTTCGTAGCGCCATGACTCTACAAGACAGCGCTGCGGCGCTGTCATCAAGGAAAGAGGTCCAAGCTTTGTCTACATGTGCTATGGCGTTATGTACTCGTGCTGCGGCACTGCTTCTTTGGGAATTTGCTCCCAATTCTGACCTGCAGGCACCATGGCGCTACATGATGGCGATGCGGCGCTGATGTGACTAAATTAAGCTCCTTTTTTTCGCTCTAGTTCTCCTCTCAATTGATCCTTTATGCTACAATTCTTTCTAATGGCTTGATCCTATAAAAACATCAGCTATGCATGTAAATAAGCCATAAATGACCGAAAATTGTTAAATAATTTCCACGTGAATATCATGAAATGTGGTGTATAAAGTACACTATCACCTTGACATTAAAATCGTTATATTAAATAATTACAGTTACAAATTTAATCATGTAATTGTCATTATTGTTAAATATATATATATATATATATATATATATATTTATATATTACTGTTATGATTTTACATCATTATATAAATACCACATATTTACAAATCAAATATAAATCATCTATATCCAATATCATTGGTACGCCTATTAGAGGCACTTTTCACTCCCTCTTTTTTGTCTTTCGTTTTTTAATTTTATATGAGAGTGCTCATATAATAGTTTTTCTTTTCCTCTTTTGTGAATACAGGATTCATAGTTCTCAACCAAAAAAAAAAGCAAATTGATTTGGTGATGAGGGAGACCGAACGAAGTGGTTTTGAACGATACACATGAGCAAGCAACAATTGATCTGATGAACGAAAAGAGAGAAACAAATCAAGGGGAGGAAGACGGTTAGTAGACAGAAGAAGTTCAGCATACGACTTAATGATCTAGATAGAGAACATATAGCAGACGAATATTTTTGCAAATGAACAAGATGATGGATACTCATAGAAGGATACGACTTCCTACTAAAGAAAAAGTTACTGCCTATAAAATAAATAATTTGTCATTTTGACAAAAGTTTAGTTCCTGGCTTAACTTGTCATTTTGACAAAAGTTTAGTTCCTGGCTTAACTTGTCATTTTGACAAAAGTTTAGTTCCTACCAAATAAAAGTTACTGCCTATAAAATAAATAATTTGTCATTTTGACAAAAGTTTAGTTCCTGGCTTAACTTGTCATTTTGACAAAAGTTTAGTTCCTACCAAATAAGCCGTGTAATGATCTCATATTAACTGATAAATTTAGTCATTTTGACAAAAGTTAAAATTCAAATTATCACATTTAAAATGTAAGATATTTTATAATTAAGAAATATTCTTGCATCATCGTATGTAAAACACTAGTATTTGTAAAATACAAAAAGAGGTTGAGATTTTTTTTTTAATATGTATAAACATTTTGCTACGGAATGAAATTTTCCCTTAAAAAATGTGATAGATTTTAATTAAAAAAAAAAGAAAAAGAAGAAGAAGAAACATTTTTTTTTTTCTTAAGGATTCTAATAGTTGAATTAAAAAAATGAAATTGAAAAAATGAGTATATCTTAGAGATAAAATTACATATTTAACCTTTAAATGTATAAAGGGCTTAGAAGAAGGGCTTCTAAAATTCAAGGCTTTGCCAATCAACTGAAATGGCTGCTGCTTGTGCTGCTGAATGATCCCCATCCTCCTCTCAATCTTTCTACTGAAGCCATCCTCTGAAGCTGTATTTGCTCCCTGAACTTTGCTATGAACTCACCGGCCTTCTTGTCGACCTCGTGAGCCCCCGATTCCGACCCGCCAGCCACACTCGAAGCAACTTCAGCTTCTTCATCTGAACTTGCAAAAATACTCTCATCCTCCATCTCGGAGTTATCTTTGGAATCATCTGCCAGCAGACTCTCGATGTCTTCCATCTTGATCTGCCTCTCAATCTTCGACAACGTCGTCTTTGGCAAACGATTCGAATTAATAGTGTTCGGGTTAGCAACACTAGGCCATCCATATCCTATTTCATCTTCTCTCATATATGATAATGCTCCTCCACCCTCTTCAAACTTCTTCCCTATATTGATATCATGTTCAACTTGGTTTCTGTCCATCTCTTGGGATTTCATTTCCTCTGCAGCAACTGCATTTGCTCTAATCGTTCTAACGGATTTTCCCCGCGATACAGCTTTCGGAATACTTGCGAAGTTCCTGTCCAAGTGCAGGGAACTTATCATGGATTCGTTGCACTCGGATGAATTTTTGGTTTCTATCAGATGGTCTTCGGAGCTCCCTCTACTGTTTTCAGACAGAGAGCCCATACTGTATTGCCGAGAATGCAATGACTTTGAGGAAATGTTGCTGAGCGACGACATTTTCCGGTGCTTTCTTGTCGTCATCATCGACGATGAAGACGAGAAGGAACTAGTTTGTGACGACTGAGATAGGGTAGAATGAAGAGACCTTGATTTTTTCAGGGATTCAAATTGAGTTTCATCAGAGGGAGGCCTAAAATGGGAAGGGCGAACAAAATAATTCCCCACTCCTCTCTCTCTCATCATATTCTTTTCAGATTTCTCACGCCATTGAAATGGGGACAATGATGCAATAACAGCTTCATCAAACTTCTCCTCCAAATTCGTACAACAATTCTCACCAAATTCACTTCTTCTTTCACAATTCTCAGAGCTCTTGGATGAACTTTTAGAACTCAAACCAGATTCCTCACCAAATTCAACATCATCGGTTTCCGATTCTTCCGTAAGATTTGACCTCAAACTCCTTACAGGCAAACCTAGAGGTTTATAATGTACAATGGCACCAGAACTAGAACTAGAACTACGATTTCTTTCACTATCAGCAACTACCACCACGGATCCACCCCGAGAATATCTCGATTTACAAGCATGCCCAACATTATCAGTATCTACAAATTCATACGAATTTTCATACCTTCGTTGGCGAGATTCGGCATTCAAATCCCCAAAATCGGTCGCCGATTCGCGATGCGGCTGAACGTACCAAACATCGTCCACCTTATTCTCATCGGAAGCAGTCAAAAGTTGGACATCTTCAAAAATCGAAGTGGCGTGAAAGATCTTAGACAAATACGAGGGCGGATTTTCGAAATTGGAGAAGCGAGTTTCGTCTACACTCACCTGGATACTCCTTCTGCTAAACAGGCCGTATGAAACAGCAATGCCGACGAAGAGGAGGTGAAGGAGCTCCCAGAAATTGGTGAGCAAGGTGTGATTGACGAAATCTGGAGCCTCGGAAGGGAAGAGAGGGAGGAGGAGGAGGAGAATGGAGAAGAAGAGGAATTTACACAGAAAATGGGCGCAGGAGTGACGGCGGTCGGTAGTACGGGGCCTGGTGTAAGGGTTGGAAGTGGAAGACGCCATTGATGAGCTTGGTGCGGAGCTTCGGAATTTGAGATTTGGGAGTAAATTTATTAATTGAAGAAAGGAAGACTTGAAGCCAAGGTAAAGTAGGTGCCTCCTCCCCAATGCAATACAACAAAATAACCAAGCTTTTAAAGCGAATAAATGTGGCGTTTCAATTTCATGAAAAATATATATATGTAAATATTGATAAAATATTTGATAAATATTTTCAAAAATATTATAAAAGTAAAAACTTCATTAAAAGTATTTAAATTAATAGATAATTATTTTACTCGTTGGATTTAACTTTCATATTGATGCCCAATCCATGAATACATGGAAATGTTTACATAAATGTTGATGTTGACCTATATTTAATATTTTGGGAATAACTTTCACTCCTTCTTAAGATATTAAATTTCTATGACATTTCTAATGGGGTGTATCTAATTTTCATGATATGGGAAAAAATTTGACAAAATATTTAAAAAAGATTATCACTAAAATAAACATAATCTTAATATTACTATTTTTAACTTATTTAAAAATATCAAAACGAACATAGTTCAACGATAATTGACATATATATTCAAGCAAGATGTTGTCAGTTCGATCCTCACCTTTGTTGTACTTAAAAAAACATTTATTACTAAAAAAAATGAAAAGGAATCATCAATTTTATTGATTGTTTTGTTCTTATCAATTTAATTTTTATTTCAAATCAATCCAGAGAGTTTTTGGATATTAAAGACAAAGAGGAGTGAATTAATGGTTAGATTTTTCAAAAGAAGAAGAGGAAAAAAATAAGGGTAATTGTAGTGGGTAGCAAAAATAATTAACAAATTTCAAAAAATGTCACTAGTTTTTCAAAATTTCAAATATAATAAAATATTTGAATTTTTATTTTTGGAATTTTTATTATTCCTATTTTACCCTTATGATATCTGATATACATTCAATGTATATCTATATCTGCTATAAATATAATATCTATCTATATCTGCTATACATATAATGTATATCTGTATCTGATATACATCCGACGTATCCCTGATATATTAAATATAAGGTACACCAGATATATATATTAGAGGTATAATACATACATTAATAATGTATGTATTATACCTCTAATATATATATCTGGTGTACCTCTAATTTACACTATACTAAATATATTTGCAACTGATATACTAAATATAAGGTACATTAAATGTTTAACTTTTAGTGGTATATCAGCAGTTTAAATTATAGTTTACCATTGCAATTTGTTGATTGATATACTAATATTATCAATAATGTTGATTACTATATCACTACTACTTATTTTATATTAATATTGATTAGATACTAAATATAAGGGATATCAACTGTTTAAATTTATTAAGTATATCAGATTTCTAACTTGTTTTTTTTTTTTTTGGACATACATGATCCACATAAACCTTTTATACAATAGGTTTATATTAAAAAAAAATTGCACCATTGTTTTCATATGAAAAAAAAAATTGGATATAATAGTATTATATCAACACACAAGTATCCTAATTATATTAGTAGATATCATGGTTATATTGGAGGTATCAGTGGTAAATTAGAGGCATATTAAGTATATATCAAATATATATCAGTGTTATATTAGTGGTAAATCATATAATCATATATAAGAAGTTATATCAGTGGTATATCATTTGTATTGTATCGGCATGGTAAATCAATGGTTATTATATGTATATCAGTGGTAAGTCATATTAGAAGTTCAGTAGATATCATAGTTATATCATTATTATATCAGTGGTATATTAGGCATATATCAGTAGTCAGATATATTACAGATGTATATCAGATTAGGGGTGTTCACGGTTCGGTTCGGTTAAGTTTGGAGGCCGAACTGAAACTGATTTTTCAAAAAAAAAAATTCAAAACCGAGCCGAACCGAAATACACAACAGAACCGAACTGTCCATTTGGTTCCTACCGTTTTGCTTTTGAAAAGGACTGAACAAACTAAAAAAATAATAAAATAGCAAGGGGGCTGGTGTGCACTCATGACTCAACCACTGCCACCATTGGGCAGTGCACTGCTACCAGCCCACCAAACCTGCTGCAGACTGTGCAGTGTAGGTTTGTACTTTTTTATTTTTATTTTTATGTTTTTGATATTAACATAGATATATATTATATATATTAAATAAAATATAGGTAATCGATTCGATTCAGTTTCTTAGGAGGTTTTGCTTTTGAAAACCGAAACCGAACCTATTATTTCGGTTCTACTTTTCTACTTAACCGAACCAAACCATCAAACCTCCAAACCGAAAATTCGATTCGGTTTTGTTGGTTTTGTCGGTTTCTTCGGTTTCGTTGTGCACCCCTATATGAGATATATTGCAGGGTAAAGTTGTAATTTTAAAATTTAACCTCCGATTTTTTTCAACAAAAAAATGCTATATTTGAAAAAAAAAATAAATGTAATTGCTATTTTGCTTATTTTACAAAATATATTTTCAATATTTGCAACTGTCCAAAAAATAATGTACTCCAATCATCAACTAGCATGCACAGCGCTTTGATATGACTTTTAGCCCTTTCAATAGGGATGGAATGTGAGAGATCTAAATAGTAATTGAACCCAATTAACATACATATTACTCAATTATAGTTAAATTATACACTTGAAACGGGATGTGAGAGATTTTAAGATTGATTATTTTATTTTATATTTTGATATTTTGTAAGAGAATGATAAATTAGGTATTAAATGAAAAATGAAAGATATAATTGTCCAAAAAATTGTTTCTTCCCTATCCACACTTTTTATATATATATATAGACATACATACTAAACTATTATATTATTACATCTGGCCTTAGTGGAGGGCTGATGTTGTTATGGAAAAGTGATATGGATGTCCGAATACTTTCTTTCTCGTAGGGACATATGGATGCTGTTATACATGAGGACAGTAGGATTTGGCGATTCACATGTATTTATGGGAAACCTATTCAGGAAAGAAGACGAAAGACTTGGGATCTTATCGAACGGTTTCACAGTGTCTCTAATCTTCCTTGGATTTTGGGGGGARATTTTAATGAAATCCTTTCGGACTCGGAGAAATTGGGAAGAGCCCCGAGACATCAGAGTATTATGCAAGATTTCAGGGACATTGTTGATTCATGTGGACTAGTTGATCCAGGTTTCACGGGGGATGTTTTCACTTGGTGTGATGGGCATACTATGCGTCAGCCTATCTGGGAGAGGTTGGACAGGTTTCTAATCAATAGCGATATGATCCAATCTCAAGCGTTCTGGGAGGTTCGTCATTTAGAGTTCCTTGCTTCAGATCATAGACCGATTCTGGCAATTTGGCAAGAGTGGTGGAAGGGTGATGGAAATAGCAGGAAGGGGCGAAGGGCGGGTTGTTTTGAGGAAAGATGGACGTCGTTTGGTGAGTGCAAGGTGATTGTTAGAAGAGTGTGAAGTGATCAGGTTGACAGTGATGTGGCTTCTTTTCAAAGAAAGCTCTCTTAATGACACAAAGAGCTCTATAGTTGGAATAAGGTCAAGCTGGGTGGTTCCCTCAGCGGGGCTATTGCTAAGAAAGAGGCTAAGATTCATAATTTGTCTCTTTGTGGCGATGAGAATTGGAGAAGTAACTTGTGGAAGGCTGAAAGTGAGCTGGAAGCGCTACTAGAGGAAGAGGAGAAGTATTGGCGTCAGAGAAGTAGAGAAGATTGGTTGAAGTGGGGAGATAGGAACACGAAGTGGTGCAAGTCAGCGACGGAATACTAACAGCATAAAAGGCCTTTTTGATGAGGAAAGTGTCTGGAAACGAAAGGAAGATGACATCGCTTCGATTGCCTCTACCTACTTTCAACATATTTTTTCTTCTACCAATCCGAGTGAGATGGATATGAGCCCCGTTTTGGAAGTAATCTCGTCCAAGATTTCGGATGAACAGAATCAAATGTTAACGAAATTTTTCACTCCGGATGAGATAAAAAAGGCGCTGAAGGGCATGCCTCCCTCCAAAGCTCCTGGTCCGGATGGTTTCCAAGCAGCTTTTAACCAAAAATATTCGGAGATTGTGGGGGAGGACATGACTAATATTTGTCTCAGATTTCTAAATGGTAACGAGAGTTTGGCTCACTTAAATAAGACTTATATCGTTTTGATTCCTAAGCTGAAGAATGCTATGTACATGAAAGACTTCAGACCAATTAGCCTATGCAATGTTATTTATAAAATCATTTTGAAAACTTTGGCAAATAGATTGAAATAGGTTTTGGATGACATTATTTCTCCTACAAAATCAGCGTTTGTCCCGGGTAGGTTAATTATGGATAATGCTATTCTTGGTTTTGAATGTATTCACTCGCTTCAAAATAAAAAGACAGGAAAGACAGGCGTGGCAGTGTTAAAGCTTGATATGTCCAACGCTTATGATCGTGTGGAATTGTCGTACTTGTGCTTGGTGATGAGGAGGTTGGGGTTCTGTTCAAGATGGATTGAGTTGCTTATGCACTGCGTGGAGACAGTTGAATTCTCAGTCTTCATAAACGGTGTCCTTAGACCTTATTTCAACCCAAATCGAGGCCTTAGACAGAGAGATCCCTCATCCCCTTACCTTTTTCTTTTTTGCTCTGAGGGTTTCTCTGCTCTCCTAACTAGAGAGGAGGAGAAAAACCATTTTAGTGGCTATAAAATTAATAAATATTGTCCCTCATTTTCTCATTTATTTTTTTCAGATGATAGCCTCGTTTTTTCAGAGCTAATCAAAAGGATTGCCAACCTATTAAGGAGGTGCTTAAGTCCTATGAGAAAGCATTAGGTCAAAATATAAATTTTGAGGAGTCACAGTTCATGACCAGCAAGAATACGTGTCAAAATATGATTGAATATATCCGGTCAGAATTAAATGTTCATGTAGTTTCTTAGTTTGGTCAATATATAGGCCTTCCTTCACAGGTTAATAGAAATTGATGTCAAGTGTTCAATTTACTGAAAGATAGATTATGGAAGGCTCTCCAAGGGTGGAAACGGAAACTTTTTTCGTCGGGCGGGAAGGAAATTCTCATCAAGGTTGTGGCTCAGGCAATCCCAAATT